TTATGGCTTTAGCTGCAGTTATTGTGTAAACACAGTAAAGTTTTATGAGAAAAATCACTAGTTTACTAGTAAAACTGACAGCCTTCACAACAGAAAACCAGGTATATTGAATGAGTAAATGTGGCTTTGACTCATTTCTGCGAGTGGCTGTTATTGGAAATATTCAGAATTTTAAACTTTGTTTAAAAAGAAAATAGCTGGCAGATCTCAGTCATAATGATACAGTAGAATAGCCAGTAAAAGTACCCACTTAATCCTCACAGACCAGTCATCTGAATGGGAGGAATATAATAGAAAGCTGTGCTTATTACTTGAGTGAGATGCTGTAATGTTTTGTAAGAATGAAATACCTGTTTAAAAGGCAATGTATAACATTGATATCAGTTTAAAATATTGCTTACCTATAAAATGCTATTGGAGCTTAAAAATAGATGCTTATCAACAGACTAGGGTCAGTATATTTTGTCATACAGAATCATAGAATCTCTACAGCGTGGAAGCAGGCCATTCAGCTCATTGAGTTTACACTGACTCTCCAAAGAACATCCCACACAGTCCCCCACTATCCTATCCCTGTGACCTCGCATTTCCCACAGCTAACCCACCTAGCCTGCACATCCCTGGACACTATGGGCAATTTTGTATGGCCAATGCACATAACCTGCTCATCTTTGGACTGTGGGTGGAAACCAGAGCAAGTAACAAAGAGTGTGATGATTTGATCCAAAAAAAGGCTTTGTGTGATGTTTAAGTTGGAAAATCAGTGCAGGGACATGATACAAGTTTAAATACCTTAGCTGTAGGTATTTCTAGTTAAACTGTCCAGTGAGATGCTATTTCACATACCTGGAGCAAATGGGGTTTGAACCCAGGCCTCCTGCTACAGAAGTAGGAACACAACCATTGGGCCACAACAGGCCTCCTTAGAAGAGTTGCTTTCTAATTAGCCCACTCAGATGTTATAACACACCCCTGGAGCAGGTAGGATTTGAACTTGGGTCTTCTGGCTCAAAGGCAGGGACACTATCACTGCTCAGCACCAGCAACAAAAGTCAGTTGTGACACTAGCTCTGCCAGAGATTATTTGCTTTATAAATACTTTTAAACAATCTGTTTGGATGTGTTATCGACATACCTTCGGAGTGAGTGGCATTTGAACACAGGCATTCTGACTCAGTGGTATGGACATTTACGCCTTTAGCCCTTATTTCACTCATGCTGTAGATATTTATATTCAACTTGTATCAAAGGAGTTATTACATACTTCTGCAGCAGGTGGTAGTTGAATACAGGTCTCCGGGCTCAGAGGTAGGGATACTACCAATATGCCTCAAGAATCCCGCCCCACAAGAACTGTTTTTTTTTAGTCAACCTATACAGAGACATCATTACACATCTCTAAAGCAGCTGGGACTTGAATCTTGTTCTCCTGACTCAGAAGTAGGAACACTAGCACTGCACCACAAGAGCAGTTGTCAAGTTACTGCAAAGCAAGTTTAGACTCCACTGAGAGCACTGTCAACATTTGTCATCACCACCTACAGAAAGGAAGCAGAGACTCTAGAGGCAAAATGGCCACCTTCCCATAGGGCTGCTCTCTCACTAAAGAGAAGTGTCTGGTAATGGTTTAACCTGAGGGTCACCACATCCCAGGTGAGGGGCAAAGTCGAACCTCGATCAATCTGGGAACTGAGCCCACACTGTTAGCATCTTTCTGTATCACAAACCAGCCATCCAAGGTAACCAACTGGCACCACACAAGAATGGTATGTTTTTCTAATCAACCTGTTCAGAGAAATCTCAGGAGCAGATAAAACTTGAACCCATGCCTCCTAGGTCAGAGGTAAGGGCACTAATATTGTACCACAAATGCAAAGTACACTGATGCCAGATGGTGATTGATAATTAATCATGCTGACTTTCGATGTGGTCAAACTGTTTGTTATTCTGGCTTCCAGTCCAAAATATCAGATTCCAAGTTATTGTGTTGATTATCCAACAAATTGTTAGCCCAATCACATTCAGTCACAATCAGCTACTTTCAGCCATCATAATTTATTTAAAGTTGTTAAATCATTTTTGCCAGTCTTTCTCCCAGTTAATTTTGGAACAAGATTCAATGCTTAAAGAAAGCATGTTCCTTTAATGGGCAAAGGACTTGTTCAGAAGGATTTTGCACTATAGCACAAAAGAATTGCTCGTTTATCTAAATATTCAAAATTCCAAGTCCATAACACTTTGACCAGCTATGACTTCCACCGAGGCAAAACATATTGTTATCAGAAAGCAGTAAGTTACAAAGCACTGCTGGTCACCCTTAGAGCGAAATAGTGCATTTCTAAAATTCAAATTTCGAAGTACTTCAAGGATTTTTGTGCCTAAGCAATGAGAATAAACAAATAGTTTAAGTGACAACAGCAGTGTAGATCTGGAGGAACACAGCAGGCCAGGCAGCATCAGAGGGGCAGGAAAGTTGACGTTTCGGATCGGGACCCTTCTTCAGAAATGGGGAGGGGGTAGGGAGCTCTGAAATAAATAGAGAGAGGAGGAGTGGGGCTGGGGAAAGTAGGAGGGATAGTGATAGGCGAGAGCAGGTAGGGAGTGGTGAGAATTGGTCAGTGGTATGGGTGGGGTGAATAAACAGGAGAGAAGATGGTCAGTTTGTGTCAGGTCAAGGAAGCGGGGATGAGAGGGACGGTTGCACATTGGATGAGGCTGGGGGTGGTGGAGATTTTGAAACCGGTGAATTCCATGTTTAGGCCAATAGTTAAAGTGCCCTGTTCTCCATTAAGGAGCATTATTTACCTGGGAAAATCATCAACTAGAGAGCCAGCCATAAAGTAGACTTTTCAAACACTGTTAGGGAGACCTCCCTTTAACAGCAATTTCATGTGGGCTAGGTGGAATCTAGCTTTGCTGGAGTGGCCAATGAGCTGCCCAAATGTATATTCAACCCAATTCTCTTTTCCATTTTCTCGTCATCTATTTGGACAGTGGGGGTCTTGTGGTGCAGTGATAGAGACAGGAGGTCTCGGTTTATGTCTCACCTACTCCACATGTATTTAATAACATCTCTGACAGGTTGATTGTGAAATACTTTTATTTGGGCACTGATGCCCAAAGCATTGTGATAGTATACAGCAAGTTATAGTATCAACCCCAACGACCAGCACCAGCTATTAGTGCAGAATGTAGGGCCTAAACCACACAATTCAACATTATTCTGACTAACTCACATGACTTAATTAAGGAATTTACTATGGTGTTATGAATTACTACCAAACTATAAATAAAGAATATAATCACTGGGTGGAAATATAAATATAAAAGCAGTAACAAATTACAACCAAATATGAGTGTTATAGCAAAGCAACATAAAAATATCTGTTTATGTTGCGTCAAACAAAATCATTTACTGCAGCTTCAAGTAGTTCAACTACTTTGCTTAAACAGATCATAGCTTGAATCTTTAGTCATTTGGGCATGTAAAGGTTTAAAATAGAACAAATCCAGCTCAAGTGTGACCTGACTATTAGCGAGGATAAATAATCACCACAACCGGCAACAGCATGATACACGTGGAAAGGAGGGCTTTGATTTCGTGAAGGATTTACATTTGGCAATTAGATATACCAGTTTGCATTATTCTTTTTGTACCTTTGCATGATTTAATCTGTTCCACACCTTGGGGCATCAATGCAGTAATTGTTAATGCTATACTTCATGATAATAAAGTCTTGCAAAATGTTAACTTCCATGCCAAATTGCAGTCTTTCACTGAGAGAATCACTTCTTTAAATTGAGCAAATGCTGATTTGTTTTGATATTTTTCTCTAACATTTGTTCATGGCCCAGTGACTAGTAAGACCTAACTGTGCAGCTTAACATCAGAAAGAGTGTTTGTCAAATAAATATGATGCTGAGGAAACTATTTTTACTGCTCAGATATAAAAATTGTAAAGGATCCATTTTAAATAGTTAATTACAATCATGAAGTGGACACTATTTCTGATGTGTATGTTGTTTTAACCTCTATCAGCTGCTTATTAAAAATAAGCAAATGCCAATACTTTCTCAGGGGTGCAGTGTTTGTGCTTTTGTATGTTTATGCATTCGGAATTACAATGCACCTTGTTTAGCATTCAAATTTTCTCACTCCAATCCATAGTTTAAGTCTGTGATTATCCTATATGTGGTAATACTTATGGCTATTAGCTCTCAGCAGATAATTATATATTGAATATTGCTGCCTCTAGTTAACATTAAAACAGATGGTCCAAACATTTCTTAACAAGAACTACGCAGCATACTCGGCCCTTTATACACTGGGAGCTGGTGCACCGTTTTCCAAGTGGATAAAGATGGATGTACTAGCACTAAGAGCACATTTTGGTAATATTCAAAGTGGAAAGTATTGTGCGTTATTGAGGATCCTGGACCACACCAGAGCAACTTTGTGATACATCTGCCTGTATATAGAGTTGTCATCAGGCTACTACATGGTTGTTGTGAATGCAGTAAAAAACAATTGTTACTATATATAAATGGTGGTTTTAATAACACATTAAACAAAGATGGCTATAATAATTGTGTGACTAAACTTAGCATAATCTTCTGATGCCTCTCAAAAGTCAAGGTCAACCAGACAATCAAACCCTCATTTGCCCCAGATGGGATTAGAATGTTAAATTGTTGTGCTATTACAGAGATGCCAATTCTCACCAGAGACCAGTCCCCAGGTATTGACCCTTACTATGGTTCTGACAACTCTCAAATGTGCCTGTGTGGTGATATTCCCCCCACCAGATCTTAGACCAAACTTTGTATTGTTCTATCTGGGCAACTGTACCCCAATTACGGGCAATGACTGGCAACTGTATCCCAGTGAGAGTCAATGACTGGTAACTGTGCCCCACTGAGAGCCATTGGCTGGGCAACTATATTACAGTGAGAACAAATAGCTGGTAACAGTATCCCAGTGAGATTCAGCACCTGCCTACCTGTTCAACAATGAGATTCAGTGCCAATTCCCGGTGAGTGTCTGTCTCATTGTATGATTTGATGCCAAACCATGAGTCCAGTGTTGAGACAGACTGGTCAAAGAGAAGGCAAAGTCATGTATCATTTTCAGGCTTCAACTCTAGTCTTACATAATTTTAATTTATGTACTATACATGAATATTAAATACTGCTGTATATGGTAATCATGATAAATCGAACTCTGACTTATAGTTAAATCAAGCAAGGACTAATCCATCTTCACGTGTTCACGTACATGAGTTTGTGACTCCTCCAGGGTGAGTACTCAAAATCCATCCACACTGCACCATTTACACTCAGTGATGTGAAAATGTGTGACAGCATCTTAAGTTTGCTGTAGGATCCTTCCTGGAGCTCTGGCACAACACTCGGTGCCTGGGTCACTGTTCCCAAGTGAGAGTGCATGGGTTACAATACTTTGAGAGAGTGTTTGAGCATCTGCATCCCTGTGAGAGCTGGAGCTTCTCTCATCCCCTCCTAGCAACCTTCTTTTCACTTGGCTTTGTATCGTTTGCAAGCTTGGATTCTGCACACCTTCTCCACCCACCCCCCTGATTTCCACCTCCACATCATTGATACACACAATAAAAAGCTATGACCCAAGTACTGATCCCTGTGTTAGCCCACTCAGTACAGACTGAGAAAAGAAGTCTTGTGTTAGTCTCTATCTTAAAAGAGCATGCAAAAATGTCATCAATGTAATTATTACATGAATTTTTCTCGCTTCCAATTTTATGAGAGCAGTTCCGATTTGTAAACTTTTATTGTAAATGTTTATATGCAGAAAGTGCACAATAATAGAAAATCAAAATTAGATAATTATGTCATAAAAATAAAAAAAAATTCCTAAGGAAGCTACCTTTGCATTTTCTACATTTAGATTACTCAAGCTGCTTCCTAAGAGTAGCTATTCTGTGATGGTGCCTGGAAACTGAAAATGAAAATAGGGGTAAATTTGGGCATAGCCGCGATGCCCACCAAGTTAAATAGCTAGATGGTAGTATCAAGGCTCCCACATGCAGACCAGCCATTTGACTGTAGAGTTTCCAGAAACTGACTGGCACCTGTGGAATCGTATCCAACATAAATTAGGACGTTCGGAAGGCAGCAAGTTTGAGAGCTTGGATAGAGAGGGAGAGTATTCTGTTTCAGCATTTAGACTGTTAAAGGATGTTATTTTAAAAGTTTTGTTTAATAAAATAAGATTTAGCACACATTACCATTCGTTGCTTCTAATTCTCTCCTTCCATGATGTGCAAGATAGTGGAGAATGTTTTCACTGCATGATAAAGTATAGCTGGGTACTTTTGTCATTAACTGTGTTCTACCCTCCCCCTCACATGTTATCTGAAAAGGCATCTTCAAAGGAGGATTTTGTCACAAGAATGTGACTGGGAAATGAAAATAGCTGCTCAAATGCTGAAGCATGATTTTTTATAGCAATATATATCTGATAGCAACAGACTCCTGTGCCCTAAGAAACTTTCCATAAATTAAACAAAAGCAAACATGCATGTATTGTTTTGCATAAGACACTCCTGATGTCAGATTATGTTACAACCTCAGGATATTCTGTATTTACTTTCCATATATCACGCATAGAAACCCAAACCATGGTGAAAAGGACGTTAAGCAGAATGTTGGGAAGCATTATATAATTAGGTGAATTTCATTTAAGTAATTATAAAACAATACTTCAGCTTTTTGTAATTAATGTTGGCATTAATAAGAAATACCACAGAGTATCTGTTAAAGAAGTTGCCCTGTTTAATGAAAAGTAGGGCAACAATTCTTATAATGTTAATAAATAGCAACATGGTTGTAAAAGTTTACGTTGTGTGAAATGTTCTACTTGATGTCAGATTTCTGAGAAATGCTTAAAGAAGCAGTGATGCAGCAAACAGAGGCGGGTTAAAACGTTAATAGGATTTGGACAGAGAAGAAACAGGAAATATTAGAGCAGTAACGTTTTCAGTTCAAAAATACATAAATTGAATGGTACAACTGAAATCTATAAAGGTATAAAAACTAAAACTCACATTGCCAATAAATCTCACATGCATAGTTTTTCAGCTAATTGGGTGCAATTGGAATTTACTGCATAACATTTCTACTATAAATGCAAGTAAAACGTTATTGCCCTTGTAAAATACAAGCTGTGCATTCTGATGCTCCTGTGTACTGGAGAACTTAATCATTCTTTCTGCACTAAATTAAGTTAAGCTTATTTGTGTAATGATATTCTAAATATATTTTATGTGCTGGTAACAACAACGTAGAAAATAAAGAAGGCAATCAAGGAAATCTGCAAAATAAAAGTCTGACTTTCACCAAATTCTTAGGGTTGAACATAAATTCAGAAATAAAAGCAGAAAATGGTTGAAATACAGAGCAGGCCAACATCTGAAACAGAAAATAAAATCTTCTTTGAAATTGAATTCTTCAAGGCTTGGACATGTTGTCTCTTTGTCATGATTATTAAATAGGACTGATTACATTACTGCTGATGATTAGCTACATTCAAAATATTAGCTGTTCTTTCTCTTTCAGATACCAGTGGGCAAGCTATGCTAGTTCTAATTTTATTTTGAGAACTCAAGTTCAGACTACCCTTTCTGTCAGAGTATTGTGATGAATCTGAGACAAAATAAAGAAAAGATATTTGTATATTGTCAACAGTCTTGGGAATGCTCACGTCCTGTCCCTAAGTATTAGCTCCTGCAATGCATGTTTGTTTCAATATCTAAATTGTCCCTAAAAACCCAAGGGAGTAACTTAGCACGTATGTTATTATGAATGTTTGTTGAGCGACAGTAAAATCATGCAAAATGTCTTCCGAGAAAAATAGGAAGCATCAGTAGCATTTAAAGAAAGAATTGTATTTATATAACATCCTTCATTACCACAGGACAGCCCAAAACACTTTACAGTCAATTAACTACTTCTGTTGTATAGTCACTGCCAAATGATAGATTACTTCCCTTTGTTCTCTAACCAAATCATATGGTTATAATTTCAGAATGATTTGAAGACAAGTTAAAGGGCAAATTTCAAAAAAGTTTCATTGATATAAACTTTGTATCATGTGCCTTTCTTTTTCAGAAAACAATTACAGCATATGTGCATGTGTATATAAACATTTGTAGGGTATCTGTTCATCTTTGACATCACAAGCAATGAAGCATTTGCTTTGTCCTTGGCAACAGAAATCTTGCTCCTTTCAGGGCAGCAAAGTAACTCACTTAGTGAGCCACTGCATTTTGGGTTCTAAGTATGACATCAGGTATGTTAAAAATTGTCACTTCAGTCAAGCTCATTCTGAGTTTCCTTGATTTAATTTAACTTTCAACTAATTGCATATGTTGTTGCACAAGTTGAACAGCGAAAGTTTCTCTCCCACCAGAACCTTCAAGGATTGGAGGTTTTGACACCTTAAAGTTCACCCAGACAGGTCTTCACTCACCTCAAGCCAGCACTGGAGACTGTGTTAGTCACCCCATCCAACCAGATGTCTCAGTTCACTCAAAAACTGGCCCCAGAGCTCAGCAATGCATCATTACAGATCGAGACCATTCAGGAAAGAATAGAGGTTGTCTTCCCCCGGGGTTGACATAGAACCCTACAATGGGAATCAGCCCATTCAGTCTACACTAACCCTCTAAATAGCATCGCACCCAGACCCACTCCCTACCCTATTCCTGTAACCGTACATTCCCTATAGCCAATCCACCAAACCTGCACGTCTTTGGGCTGTGGGAGGAAACAAGAGAACCCAGAGGAAACCCACAGAGACATGGGGAGACAGTTGCCTGAGGCTGGAATCAAACCTGGGTCCCTGGCACTGTGAGGCAGCAGTGCTAACCATTGAGCCACCATGCAGCCCACAATAGCAGCAGGAAACCTTCCCTTCTGGACTGGGTGGTCTGGAGTGAGGTCCCAGTGCAGGTCAATGCCAGTGTCCTGCACAAGAGAACCCAGATACATTACAGAGAGTAGACAGACAATGTCCTGTGCTCCACTGTCTTCTCACTTCAAACTGATACCCATTGGACATCACTCCGTCACAAACAAGCACATCATCTAGGATGATCCTCTTCAAGCTCCAGTAACACATGCACTAAAGACCTGACCTCCACCTTGCACTGTTAGTGGTCTCCCAGTCCCCATGCAGTTCACTTCCCAATCACAGAGTGGGGAGTGAGAGACCAAACAAGGAAGATCGCCAACCAGCATACAACCATGGAAAGGCCCATTCACTGCCAGTTCCTTCTGACTAAACCTTCAGGTGCAAGGAGTTTGTGCATTGGTCAGGTCTTAATCCATTTCAGGGCACCTTCTTACACATAACAGTCAGCTTCCATTCAGGAAGTTTTCAACAGAATCTATCCAATCCTGACCTTGTTATGATAGACTTGCCTGCAACACCCAGTCCCTTCCCTTCACCCTAAACTCTTCCCCGGCCCAAACAGAAATCAGTTTGCAGTCCTTGTAAGAGTAAAGGGCACAATATTAAATGAATTTATCTCCCTTCCTGCATCCATACTTCATACATCATGGGATGACAAACAACCGACAATGTACTGTGGCTCCACAAACTTTTTGGACGGTGCTATCATGAGTTGTGGAGATATTCTGGCCAATTGGGAAAGGATCAGGATTCTCCATAAATGGACTCGTGACTAATAGGATATCCCTTCAGTTAGCCAAAATGTTTAAGTTTAACTTCCCCTCAGCACCCCCCAAAAAAACCCACCTCTCATTTTTAAAAAGCAAATGAGAATTTGGATAAATACTTCAAGGTCATAAGGTTTACTTTTGTCACTGGAAGAAATATATTCAATTCTCACTTCCCACTCATCAAGTTCCCACCATACTTTGCCTCCCCAACTGCCATATAAACCCCGTTATCCTGAAACATTTCCACTCATCCCATACATGTCCTTATCAATTTCCCAGTTTTTACCCCACTGAATCCATAGTAGTCCAGGTCCCAGTGTCCCTGCTAGCTATTCACCCTCCCAGCAGCAAGGACACCTGGACCATTGGTCTACAATTCCCTCCTTCCCCCACCATATGCTTCCTGACCCTGAACTACCAGTTCCCATCCTAGCAGACCCAAACCCCACCCATACTGTGAATGTACCATCCACCACCAAATACTGACCATCAAATCAATGCACATGAGGTACCTAGAAAAAGGACTATACCATGCACAACGGTCTCCCCTTGACTATCCCTTACCGCCCATCATCCCAAAAGCCTCAGGATAGCAATATCTACCCATCCACCTCCTGGATAGACAATACTTTACCCTTACACTCAGTGATCCTCTCTCCCATTGGCCATATGAGCTTTACCTTGACCCACAGACACAACACCTACAACCCCCTTTGACACCTTGACTGTACTTGAAGACCTTATATCACAACTCAATAAAAAAAGCATAATTTAAAGCTGATGTCACATTAAATGCAAAGCAATAACTACTTATCCCAAAGTGCAGAAAGAAGCCAAGGCTGCCTGGTTCATGCCTCTGTTATATGTTGTTGAGTTTCTGAATGGATGGATTTCTCAATGGGGTGGAAAGGACAACTTAATTGCAGCAAGTTATGATTTATTGAGATGTAAATAAGTTTCCTGACAACTGCAAAGTCAACCTCCACCATTCTTTCAAATCCAGGAAACATAATTATAAAACTTTACTCTGCCAGAAAGAATCAAAGTATTTATTGTGTTTTCTGGACAATGTGATCAGAAGTTATCATGAGCATCTCTGGAGTAGGTTGGACTTGAACCCAGGCCTCCTGGTCCAGAGGTAGGGACACAACCACTGTACCACAAGATCCCTGCTTTGTTTATTTTCCAACCAGCCCATCCAAGTTATGATGTCACATTCCTGGAGCAGCTGGGATTTGATGACTCCCACCCAATTAAGCTCACCTGCCACCATTTTTCTCAGCCTCTGGAAGATTCCGCCTCTGGTTTCTGTGGAATTACTGAGAGATGGACCAACCCCCTGTCAAAGGTATAGTAGACCATTGATATTACTTTAAATTAGCTAACTTCATAATCATAATTTTAATTGTTTCTTCAAAAACTGGAATTTGAAAATAAATAGTAAATGTTCATTTTGTTTTTGGTTAGAAAAAGTGCACAATCTAATTGTTGCCGTGTGTGAACTGCAGGTAGAGAAAGAGAGGCAGAGAGGAGAAAAGTAGAGAAGAGACATCAATACAATAAGGAATTTCTCACCTAGGGAAAAAGTGTGATACTTGATGGCTGAACAAGGGCTTAAATTGTGACAAATTGCCAAGCCAGTTCAAGCGTATTTGATTCCATTGTTAAGGGAGATGGAACAAGGTGAAGGCAGTAAACCAGTTTCCAGGAATAGAGTTATATTTTAAATATGTTTGGCTGAATGGTATGACCAATCACCAAGTGTTAAGGCTTTCTGAGGTATCTTAGAATTATGAAAGTTGTTTTCTCATCTGGAACTCTTCCAGTCATGTGCAGCATTGTCTGACTTGGTCTCGTGCTTAATGTTAATTCATGAGAATTTGATTAGGCTTGGCTGCATCTGCCCCTTGACCAGTTGCTTGATTGCCTTAATGAAGCTAGTGAGTGAAGTGACTGGGTCAACATGCAGAGAAAATTCTGGAAAATGTGAAAGTCTCTGAAAAGACTTATGTTGGAAGTTCTTCAATGAACTGTTTGGATTTAGTGCTAGGGCAATCTCTGTATTGTCTGAAGTAAATCAGATAAATAAGGTATACAGCAACTCAATACAAACATAAAATATGGAATCCTCCTAATCATCTCTATCACTGACACAGCTGAATACCTCTTGGCCATTTAGGTCTTTATCCTTGACCTCTGGTCATGGTTAACATGCAGCACCCACCAGTGGAGAAATAGGTTTTTACAAAACCTTACAGTCATGGAAATCAATCCCCAAAACATCAACTAAACTTGTAGCTACCATTCACTAAGATTGGAGTTTGATTTTTTCACTCACCGTGAATCAATGACTTGGTTTTGTTCTGGACATAATATAAACACTCTTAAACTTAGTGAACAACAATCTTTAGACTTACCATGAGCTGTTTTGCAAGAAGCCATAATATAATGTAATAGCACAACAGTTTTAATTCTGTTAATGCTGCATAAACAAAAGCAATATGTTTTAGTACAGCCCTTAGCATAACAATGTCGCAAGTTGAGTTATAAAACAAAATTTGTTGCCAAAATAACCAATCACACTGCATTTTAGAATTTCACAACGTCGTTAAAAGCTTCAGATTGAAATCTTCATGTTGCAAATATAAACTGTTTTAAAAACGATAAACGTTTGTTCTTTGGCCATTCAATGTTCCTTCTTTATCTTTTAAATTAGGTTATGTGCAATATTTATAATTTAAAGCTATTAAGAAAATGAATTAAATTGCTACTTTTACATAGACCTACAATGTTGGGTCCTATTGAGAGCAATTTTCTAGGCTTTATTTATTTTGCAGAGTGAATATTTAGGTTAATAGAAATTGTCACAACAAAGAGTATTTGTTCCCAAATTCGTTGTTGTCCACACTGAACAAGAGAAAGCAAGACAAGTTTTGCAAGGGAGGAAACATCCCATGTGGAAGGCAGAGAGGAACTGTGACAGGAGCAAGCTTGCTAGGTAGAATTATGGAGCTGTACAGCACGGAAACAGACCCTTCGGTCCATCTCGTCCATGCTGACCAGATATCCCAGATAAATCTAGTCCCATTTGCCGGCATTCGGCCAATATCCCTCTAAACCCTTCCCATTCATATACCCATCTAGATGTCTTTTATATGTTGTAATTAATTGTACCAGCTTCCCCCAGTCCCTGTGACAGCTCATTCCATACACGCGCCACCCTCTGTGTGTAAAAGTTGCCCCTTATGTCCTTTTTAAATCTTTCCCCTCTCACCTTAAATCTATGCCCTCTAGTTTTGGATACCCCCACCCTTGGGAAAGACCTTGTCTATTTACCCTATCCATGCCCCGCATGACTTTATAGATCTCTATAAGGTCACCCCTCAGCCTCTGATACTCCAGGGATTATCTCATTTATAGGTAAGTGTAAGACGTAAGATATTTTGCCTGGTTAAAAGAATTCAAAACTAATGGTGACCGGTGTAGTAGCGTAGTTATTGTTCAAACAATTAGACACAGACTCTTTAAGGTAGGCATCCTTAGAAGAGGCTTTGCAGTGGGGTTAAAACTCACTCAGAGTTTGAATGTGCCTTTTGCTGTTTTAGAGGGTTGGGCGAGGAGGCTCGTGTTGCATTGAGCACTTCCAGCAACTGGAATTCCTGGTCTATTCACACTGACAGTTTCCCAACGTATAAGGAACAATTTGAATCTGACTCAGCTGGTGCGAACAGGCAGTGAAAATGTTACGTATTCAATGGAGAACCTTCTAGATCAATTCACTTTGGCTGAGAGATATGCTGCTTCATCCAGCTCTGCACCTTGTTATCTCAAATTCACTTTGGTTGCTGGTTTTCCTTTTAATTCAGCAATTGAGAACCAGCTGAGTATTGTTATAAACGTACTCACATCTACACTCTTACGTTGATTTTAAGTTGGGCTTGAGTGGAAATGGCATTGCTGAGAAAATGAAAAAGTGAAAACCATGCCTTTGTGGGATCAGGAGGAGTTGAAATGGTCCCCTCAGCTCCACATGAAAATGCAGGGCAACCCTTGCCTGAGATGTACCCTACTGTCTCTCTTCCCATCTGGCAACAGAGAGACAAAGGCCAATGGCCTCCTTTAATACTGTCAATTTCCTGTGAATCGCATGACGCTCTCCTGCAAGCCTTTACTGAGGCTAGTGTTCCAATTGGCAAGGAGCCAAAGGCTACCAAATATTCTAGAGACCTGCAGCTGCTTTCCACCCACAACTTGCCCGTTCCACAAAGCAGCTCAAACAACTGTGCAACATTGAGGTCCTGGAGTTCAATTAGCCTATGTGTCTGAAATTTCCTCCGGCAAATGTGTTCATACTCATGCCATCTGGATTTCACATCCACCCAAGCTACTTGAGTCATTTCCTGAGGTAAAATCCACTCTGACTATTTGACCTTTTAAAATCTGTCATTTAGAAACAGCCAGCAGCAGATTGAATCTGCATATCTACGGCATGCTCTTGTCCCTGCTGAGTCTTCTACATTGAAGAATGTAAATAAACATCAGATGCAACAATGAGATAGTAAGAACTGCCAATGCTGGAGTCAGAGATAACACAGTGTAGAGCTAGAGGAACACAGTAAGTCAGGCAGCATCAGAGGAGCAGGTCAGGACCCTTCTTCAGAAATGTCAGCTTTCCTGCTCCTCTGATGCTGCCTGACCTGCTGTGTTCCTCAAGCTCTACACTGCATTATCTCAGATGCAACAATAATTTGTTATCTTTAACCATTGTTCATTTGGGAAGGGGAGGAGTAAGACAAAACATTTTGGGTGAATGGAAAAGTTTTCCTTCTTTTTATGATCCAAGCCGAAGTTATAATAAGACAATTCATATACCTGGCTTGATAGATCATAGTTTGTTTTGATTTGCTTTGTTTTAATGAGGTAGACAGAAACACATAGTGTTGCAGACTTTATTCTAATAATAAAATGGAAGTTATTAAGTATAATCCCATCATTCCAAAACACTATCTTGCAAGTTTTAAAAAAAATTCTTTTATGCAGTACCCAACAGCCACCCTTGTACAAAACTTACATCAAAATCCTTTCTTCTAACTTCGAGTCATAGAGTCATACAGCTTGGAAACAGATCCTTTGGTCCAATCAGTCCATGCCAACCATAATCCCAACCTCAGTTACTGCCACCCTCCTGCCCTCCTGTACTTGGCCAATATCCCTCCAAACATTTCTTATTCAAGTATTCATCTAAATGTCTTTTAAATATTGTAACTGTACCTGCATCCATCACTTCCTCTGGAAGTTCATTCCACACATAAAACACTTTCTGTGTTAAAAATTGCCCCCATATCCTTTTAAAACCTTAAAAATATGCCACATAGTCCTGAAATCCCCCACCATAGGGAAAAGACACCTGCTGTTCACCTTTTCTATACCCATCATAATTTTATAAACCTCTATAAGGTTTAAATATTTAAATACTTATTTAAATATAAATATCTATTTAAACATGTCAATACATTTCAGATAACTGTGTCTTTAACTCCGAGACCAGAATCCCTGATTTCTCAAAAGCACTGTACTGTACAAGGACTTCACGGAACTGTCAAAAACAAAGTAACGCGAGGGCCAGGATGCTGCCACTTAATGAAACAGCTGGGATGAAGTCCAGAGCATGAGAATGGCCTTTTAACCAGGCCATCCCAGCTACCTGTGTGGCTGATCTGCATCAGTTGGAACTAGACCCAACTCTATTCCTCACCTAACCCTTCCCCAGGTTGATGATGATGCTGTCAACATGATTACAGCAAGCTAAAACAATTGGTCAATTTGAGATAACTACCTTGGAAGCAATATTTCACAAAAATACTGCTCAAGAAACCTTTTAGCATTCCTTTAAAATGTTAGAATGCTGACTATATTAGCTGAGCTGGGTCTCAATTCCTGCCTTACTATTATCACTGCTGAGTTGTTTAATAATGCAATCATAAGTTTACAATATAGAGCCTTTTAAGATGATCACCATACATAATGGATTTAACTAATATGATCAAAATGTTCCATATTTTTTAAAGTGTGCTGTAATTTGGAACATGGTCATCTTCTCTGTACTTTGTTTCTCTTAAGCTCTGCAATATTTACATTTTTTAAATAAAAGTCTAAACTAAGAAAGATACATAAAAGATTACTTTCTTCTGGTACTGCATGGGGTGATGCATCAAAGTAAATATTCTGTACAGTATTTTAATGGGCTTGTTAAATTATTTTAAAATGTTAACATTCAAGTCGCACACAAATTAATTTTACGTGACTACTTTAACCGGTTCACTATCAGAAGAAACTAAAACTTCAGGGTGGAATTTTCCCCTCGCTGGAGGTGACAGGAGAGGAAATAATGGGTGAGCTTGCCCTGGAGAGAAACCTGACCCCCTTCCCGCCAGAGATAGCAGGAACTGCAGATGCTGGAGAATCTGAGATAACAAGGTGTAGAGCTGGAGGAACACAGCAGGCCAAGCAGCATCAGAGGAGCAGGAAAGCTGACGTTTCGGGCCTAGGCCCTTCTTCAGAAATTTCTTGTTGTCCCCCTTCCCGCCAACTCTAATTAAATGTGACCAAATCCATGAGCAACATTCTGGACTCACCAGTGATTGAGTCTCTTCAGTGTTCAAGTATTCGCCACTTTGGGGTTTCTACTTTGTCATCTCCCCAGGTAAACTGCCTCCACAGTAATAAACAAAGATGACTTGTTTCCTGACTAAGAAACCAAGGTGACATACCTGCCAAGCTTGGGCTCAGTAGTTTTGTTCCCCTTAATTAAGGAGAGACATTTCATTAGAGGCAGTTCAGAGAAGGTTTACTAGGATAATCCCTGCTATGGAAGGATTGGCTTATGAGCAAAGTTTGGGATCCTACCCATTGGAGTTTAGAAGAATGAGAGGTGATCTCGTTGAATCATATCGGATTCTTAAGGGGCTTAACAGGGTATATGCTGAGAGGGGTGTTTCCCCACATGGGAGAGTCTAGGACCAGAGGCCACAGTTTCAGAATAAAGGGCCAATTTAAGACTGAGATGAGGAGGAATTTCTCCTCTCAGAGAGTTGTGAGTCTTTGGAACTCCTTGCCACAAAGAGCTGTGGGGACAGAGTCCTTGTGTCTATTTAAGGCTGAGATCGATAGACTCTTGATCAGTCAGGAAATCAAGGGTCACAAGGAAAGTGGACGTGAGAAATGTCAGATCAGCCATGATCCTCTTGAATAGCAGAGCAGGCTCAAGGGGCTGAATGGCCTACTCCTGTTCATACTTGGAATGGTCTTATGAAAGCCATTACTCCTGTTTCTGACTCCCCTTCAATCTGGTCTCCCACAACCACACTCCAGAGGAAGAAGAAAATAAATTACTTGCATCTCATCATTGGATTCCCTCTAGATTAGGCCTTCACCTCCACCCCATAAGATGGAGAGGCCACTGGCCAACCAGTGATCAACAGTTTCTGGTGACCTGACATACCGTGTGTCG